GAAAAACCAAAAAAAAAAAAAAAAAAGAAAGAAAGAAAGAAAGAAAGAAAGAAAGAAATTGAGATAGAGTATTAGGAAGTGTTATGGTTTAGTAAAACGCTGCAGATCTCTGAGGGGTGCAGTGGCAGAAATGCTGCAGGTTCTCCGGTGGTGGCAGTGGGCAGCCAGTCCCAGGCAGGGAGCAAGTCCCAGGCAGGGAGCCACATGGTGGGTGAGAGACTAAGACGGTAGGCTCGCCATGCAGAGGATGTGGGTATTATTTAGTGGGTTATGGAGGGGTAAGGGAAAAGGGGAGAAGGAGAGATGGGGGGAGAAACACTGAGAGAAAGTGGGGGAGAGAAAAGGAGAGATCTCCTACCTGCCTTGGGGGGAGTGGGTGGGGCTTGTCTCTTAAAGAGACAGGACAGACCATTAGAGGAAGAATGGGGCTTGAGGGGCCTACTGAGTCCTCAGCAATGGCTTAATGCCTGGGAAATAAAGTTTATTACAATGAGGGGGACTTGATTGGGGGAGGGGGAGGGAAATGGGAAGCGGTGGCAGGGAGGAGGCAGAAATCTTTAATTAATTACAAAAAAAAGACAATGCATTTCATGTAGTTTTTTTTATATCAGGTACACTTGCTTATATTGGGTGTGTGCGTAGAGAGAAGTGCAGTTTGCATGAGTCTGTCTACCGATGATTATGGAAGGGGTGGTGGGCTAGGACTCTTCAGTGGGTGTAAGCTAGCTGCTTAGTGGAGTAAAAGGCAGTCAGAGCATCCCTCCTAGATTACGCACTGACACAGCGTGATGTAGCTGCTGTGAAGAAGCTTTGAGATGCTTACCTGTTTAGGGGCCATTGTCTATATCCTTGACTTTGGGATAAGCAACTGTCAAGGTAGATTAGAATTCTGGGGTAGGCAACCACTGAACTGATAGAACCCATGGGCAGGAAACCCTAGGCATTCCTGCCCAAAACTCATAGTCTAACTTTACTCCTGAGAAAAACTTCAAACACAAATTAGGAGACAGAACTATAATAAAATACCTAACCTGCAGGGCCAGGCATCATGGTGCATGGCTTTAATCTTAGCACGTGGAGACAGAAACAGGTGAATCGCTGTGAGTTCACAGTCAGACTGGCCTGCATAACAAGTTCTTGGCCAGCCAGAGCTACACAGTGAAAAATAACCAAAGCAATTACTTTTCTTGATATTTATGGGAGACCTGCCCTTTTCTAAACAGAAATGGAGGAAGAGTAGATTGGGGGTGGGAACAGAGAGGGGATGGAGGAAGGAGAGAGGTGAAACTAATGCTGGAATGTAAAATAAATTTATTTTTTAAAAAAAGTATCAGGCGATAGACACATATATCAAAATCCATCAGGGCCTGAAAGGAAAATATAATTAAAGAGCACCTCCTTTTCTACTGTGGAAATTCTCTGAAGCATTTGGCAAAATTGTTGCTTTTAAGTTTGCTTTGTGAAGGATTTGGTGTCTCCTAACCCTCAAGTGTTGTTCTCTTACCCATCACTTTTCTTCACCTTTGGTATATTTACTTGAAGTAAATGCCATGAGTCAGAGGGCGGTGCAGACGTGTGGAGGGACAGCTTTGTCATAAAAGCAATAAAAGTGTGTGGATGCTTTAAAAACAAAACTAAACCAGCTGGGCAGTGGTGGCACACTCCTCTAATCCTAGCGTTCCAGAGCAGAGGCAGGCGAATCTCTGTGAGTTCAAGGCCGGTATGGTCTACAAAACAAGTTCCAGGACAGCCAGGGCTGTTACATAGAGAGACCCTGTTCTGAACCCACCAGACCAAAAAAAAAAAAAAAATAATAATAATAAAATAAAATAAACACGGTTGGATAGATGACTTAGTAGTTAAGATATCTGAGTTCAGTTTCTAGCATCCACATGGCATCTCATAACCATCATAATTCCAGTTGCAGGGATCCTAAGCCCTCTTCAAACTTCCTTCGGGCACCAGGCATGCACGGGCACACATTCATACGTACAGGTATAAAACAGCCATACACATAAAATTGAAAACAAAACAAATAAAAGCCTGACCTGTATGCTTCAGAAATGCAAAGGTAAAGGAAGATAAAGGCAGGTTGGGACGTGGCTTTGTGAAGGGCTCGATGAACCTTGTGGGCATTCTTAGAGCAAGACAACACAGGGAGAAAGGCTGTAATTGGGACAGTTGGTGCATGTGGATGCTAATAATGCAATGATTTCCTGATCTGGGGAACTGGGTCACGATTGTGTCAGAGTACCTTGTTCCTAGGCAGTCTGTGTCTATGTCCTGTGGGGTCAAGGGTCTTGCTGAGGGGTAGTAGGGAACACCTTTAGTCCCAGCACTTGGGAGGCAGAGGCAGGCAGATCTCTGTGAATTTGAGGCCAGCCTGGTCTGCAAAGTAAGTTCCAGGACAGCAAGGACTACACAGAGAAACTCTGTCTCAAAAAAGGGGGAAGGGGAGTCAAAGGTCTCACCAGTCCAGAAGACATGCATATACATGTCTGTGTGGATGGCAGTGGTTCAGAAGGGCCAAGTGAAATAGCTGTGATTCTCAATAAAGTGTAATGCGTTTCCTGGAATACCCTTGCAATTAATCTGTAAGATTGAAATTATATCAAAATAATAAATGTCCCATAGATAGCATCATAGTGAAGCAACAGAATTACAGGTTAAATGACTAGAAGGTTGGGGATGTAGCTCAGTGGTAGAATACTTGACTAGCATATGAGAGGCCCTGGTTTCGATCCCCAATACAAAACAAGGGCCAGGAGGCAGAGACAGGTAGAATTCTGAGTTCAAGGTCAACCTGGTCTACATAAAGACTTCCTGGCCAGTTAGGACTGCACAGTAAGACGGTATCTCCAGCAAATAAACAAACAAAAGTCTCCCAAATAAAAATGGCTAGAGAGCAGAGGAAGATTGCTCAGGAGAATCCTAAAGGCAGTGTGGTAGAAGCCAGAGGTTATGTAGTGTGAGACTCTTCTCTGTGATAAGAGAAAAACGACTGTAAAGTTATTCCTGAAAACAAGGATGAAATAGACATTTTCAGACAAAACCAAATGTCATCAGAATATCTTCTGCAAAGGGTGGTCTGAATGTGTCTCATGCAGAGGAAAAGAAATCCCAGGCAGAAACAGGGTACAAGGAGTGGAGGTTAAGAGACATGAGGGCAGAGTACACACGGTAACTGGCAGCACTGATGGAAATGGAATGTTGGGTAGCCAGGCAAGTGGTGCCCAGTGATTGGGGGGCTTTGATAGCCAAGCCATGATATGCTCAGGGCCCAGCACAAGCATGCAGAGAAGAAATAGAGATAGCTATCGTCCCCCATGAGGGTAGGAAATAGAATAGGTTTCTGGAACTGAGTGTCAGACTTAAGCAGGATCAGGCCAGGAAGGCAAGGTCAGATGAGGAGAGGTAATTGCAGAATAAAGGGATGGATGCTGGGTGCTGCAGTAGTCTGCAGTAGTCTTACAGTTCTGCCCTGATCAACAGTGAGTCCTTGGCTGTTGCTCCGGATTACAAAAGCTGCAGTGGTTCTCAGGGAATTAGTCATGTCACTCCCATATAGATGGCCACTGCAGTTTTGATTGATCACGACAGTTGTGACGATGTTACCTGCAGAGGTCATCTAAGCTTGAGAAACAGGATTGTGAGGAGAACTGGTTTCTGGAGTCCTGCTTTATTTTCATCCCTTGGTTCCAGCCGTTGCTTGCTTAAGAATAGTATATGTTTTATCTTTTCAAGCTTTTTGCCCTAGCAAGTCCCAGAACACTGTTGAGCCAAGAGGGCAGTTTCTCCTGACTTTGAGGTGGATATGTATGAGCAGTCTGCAAGACAGGACCCTGCATCTTACGTTTCTGTGGCTTCTTAGTGGGTCCATCCAGGCAAGGGGCCATTCACATCATAGGCAGACTATATGCTTATGTCTTGATTAATATCACATTTACTGATGTGATAACAGGTCATATCACTTAAGGAATAATGTATAAGGGACTTGCTGTTCCTGATGGGAGAGTACACTGCCAGCATTCTCCGCTGTGGTCTGGCCCCTCATCTGGCTCACAGTACACTTTTGTGGTGGCTGCAGCATGCTAAATATCAGGTAGAGAGCTGGCCTTCAACCTGGCCACTGGCCACTGGGCATATTCTCATGGCACGCTGTATCAAAGTGTTCTGTACTGAGGCCTGTGCCTGGTAGAGCCATGCTATTCCTTCCTGTGAAGTCCTGGTGCAGGCTGGAGGAGGAAGGGAGAATGGGCTGTGCTACAGTTTCACCAGACCTGTGTCAGGCTGAGAAGGTCCTGTACTTCTGTGTTTCTTTGTAGTACGATGAGCATGTGATCAGCCCAAAGGAGTTTGTGCACCTGGCAGGGAAATCTACCTTGAAGGATTGGAAGAGAGCCATCCGGATGAACGGCATCATGCTCAGGTGGGTGTCTGACCAGCTTGAGATGATGGGAGGGTTCACAGCTGTTATTTTTCACTTGGTTTTAGATCTTTGGAAATGAATTATTTTGGTTAAGTTTTATTTTAATTTCCACTAATTCTTTACATGGTGGTGGATGTGTATTTTGAATGTATTGCTATTAAAAATTAAGGATTAGGGGGCTGGAGAGATGGCTCAGTGGTTAAGAGCATTGCCTGCTCTTCCAAAGGTCCTGAGTTCAATTCCTGGGAACCACATGGTGGCTCACAGCCATCTGTAATGATATATGACGCCCTCTTCTGGCCTGCAGACATACACACAGACAGAATATTGTATACATAATTTAAATAAATATTTTTAAAAAATTAAGGATATAATCTGCTGTTTGTACATAGATATTTAGGTTTAACTTTTTTAAACAGTGCTTTATGGTACCCTTCTGTCTTTTTTATTACTTTTTATGAAAGTTCCTTGTGAAGTGCACAGGTATTAGGATATGCCAGGCTCACATACTTTATGACCTAAGAGCCGTATTCGTTTCTGTTTATTTGGAGACTGGAAGGCTCTACTAGGGTGTTCCATCAACCAGCTACCTCAGTTCCTAAGCACTAGTAAGGTGCACTGTTTGTGTCAGAGTACTCAGCTCTGAATGCTTTGCCATAGCTCTCAGCCATATACCTCTGAGAAACACTCTGTTTTCTCTGATGGGACCAGAGGCTGAGAGAGGTGTGTTGGGATTGGTTAAGGCCACCGAGTGAAGCTGGAGCCTCTGGCCTTATGTTTATGGGTCATGATAGGCTGACTGAAACTGATGGAATTTTGATCCAAGGCCTCAAAGAGGTCAGAGGTAGTACCTAGAAGGAAAGACCCTCGTAAGTGAGAATAAGTGGCTGTATCCTTAGAAGTTGTTTTAAGGTTTGGGAACTCCTTTCCTGTCCTTCCAAAGGCAAGGCTTCCCCTGGAAATGATTCTTTTTTTTTTTTTTGTAAGATTTATTTATTTATTTATTTATTTATTTATTTATTTATTTATTTATTATGTATACTACATTCTGCCTCCATGTATGTCTGCATGCCAGAAGAGGGCACCTGATCTCATTACAGATGGTTGTGAGCCACCATGTGGTTGCTGGGAATTGAACTCAGGTCCTCTGGAAGAGCAGCCAGTGCTCTTAACCACTGAGCCATCTCTCCAGCCCCTGGAAATGATTCTTAACTCTGCCACAGGACTCAGTCACTGTGACTCATCCTTCACCACCTTTGTTAGCTGTGGTCTGCCCTAGGTGCACAGTCCCAGTGCTGTCCCCTCTTTCCTGTGGACAGGATGCTGTGTAGGTGGCCTGGGGTGGCTCTGCCGCCTGTGCTGTATTTGTGTGAGCTCCGTGCATAGCGAACACTGCAGCCTATCACCTACTGCAGAGGAGCCTGGCTCCACTCAGCACCTCTGCTGGAACCTATGCCCTGCGGTTGGACAGTCAAATCACAGTGGTAGATGAGGTATTTTCAGTTAGCTCTCACCTGGACTGCTCTGGCTTCTCCACAGGAAGATCATGGACTCTGGAGAGCTCGACTTCTACCAGCATGACAAGGTCTGCTCTAATACCTGTCGCAGCACAAAGATCGACCTCTCCGGGGCCCGTGTGTCCCTGAGCAGCCCGACATCCACAGAGTACATCCCACTCACACCAGCTGCAGCTGATGGTAGGTACAAGAGGCTGCCAGTCTCGGAGGCCACTGCAGCTGTGGTGACCAGCCCTCTCTGGGTGCCGTATATCTTGTCTGTTTTCCAAGAATACTCCTTCCACAGAGGCCCTACAGTGTTGGGTCAGCCCCTCCTTATATCCTTCCTGAAAGCACATCTGGAGACTTGTTGGGTTTGCTAATAGGGAATCGTTTGCTTGTTTTTCAAAACAGGGTTTCTCTGTGCAGCCTTGGCTGTTCTGGAACTTGCTCTATAAACCAGGCTGGCCTTAAACTCATAAGAGCACTGGGATTAATAAAGGGATATACCACCACTGCTTGGCTACTAATGGGAAATCTTAAAGCATCTTCAGTCATTTTTATTTTCAGATAGTAATTCACATATATAGAGTATAAAGAATGGTTAAGATTGACTTGTGTCCCTATGTCTGTTCTCAGTCACTCAAGGCCTGTCTGAAGTGGATATACATTTTCTTTGGTGCTGTGATTTTCAGACCTTTTACTGGTCTTTCCTGCCATTTGGATTTTGGGTGATAACTTAAGATATTCTTCTTGGTTGATATCCATCTTTCAGAGCTGTAGAAAGATTGACTCTTTTCTTTGTTTTTCTTTATTTTTTCATTCATTTATTTGTTTTTTCAAGACAGTTTTTTGTGTAGCCCCCACTGCCTGGAACTAGCTCTGTAGACCAGGCTGGCCTTGAACTCACAGAGATGTCCTGTGTCTGTCTCCCCAGTGCTGGGTTGATGAAGGTGTGCGCCACCATTGCCTGGCAGATTTCTAAAATTCTGTTCAGCTCTGAGTGAGGCATTTTTTTAAAAAAAATATTTATTTATTTATTTATTTATTTATTTATTTATTTATTTGTTATGTATACAATATTCTGTCTGTGTGTATGTCTGCAGGCCAGAAGAGGGCACCAGACCTCTTTACAGATGGTTGTAAGCCACCATGTGGTTGCCGGGAATTGAACTCAGGACCTTGGGAAGAGCAGGCAATGCTCTTAACCACTGAGCCATCTCTCCGGCCCCTGAGTGAGGCATTTTGTAAACTGAAGTGAGAATGAAGTTGTGTTACCTGGTGAAATTGGGTTGTATTGTCTTTCTGCTGTTGTCACTTACTGTCCCTAACTGTCATTCTACAGTGTTAAGCTGGCATGTACTTCCACGTGATCAAGGATGTTTGTCCTTGTTGTTTAACCAGGCCAACTGAAGAGCCTTATCTGGGGCTAGGAGAAGAGAGTGAAGCCTTATGAGTTCTGCCTTATTCTTTTCAATATGCTTCTTTGCAAACTGATTGGTCAAGATTGGTTAGAATTCAGCTCTTCTGACAGTTCTGCATTCTCCTCTTGAGAAACCCAGGGACACCCAGGGTCATAGGGACTTACTTTGTTGGCTCTTTGCTCATTTACCATGATCCGAGGATGTCTGTTGCTTAGCTTCTTTCTGGACAGCCCTCTTCTGGGGACATATCAGAATGAAAGGCAGTGTGGGGAGTGAGTGGTCCAGGTCTTGGTGGCTGCCTTATGAAAGTCTGTCACGGCCTAGTAGAGGCTAGTGAGGTGTTTTTTTTTAATTGGTATTTATTGAGCTCTACATTTTTCTCTCCTCCCCTTCCTGCCTCTCCCCTCCCCCTGCTAGTGAGGTGTTTTAAGTACACTTTGAGTTGGCTCAACTATGGAGTTTGTAGTGTTTCCAACTGATGATGTGTTTACCAGTGTGTAGCCCCATCATAACAGGAAGAACACCTATTATTAGCTTATTCCTGCAAGCCTTAGTGTGATGGTAACCAGCTAGAATCCAATTTCATGGGATTATTTTGTAGGTCCCATGCAAGACAAATGTATAGAATAACTTTTTAAAAAAAAATTTTTTTAAGATTCATTTATTTATGTATACAATATCCTTCCTGCAGGCCAGAAGAGGGCACCATATCTCATTACAGAGATCTCATTACAGAGCCACCATGTAGTTGCTGGGAATTGAACTCAGGACCTCTGGAAGAGTAGTCGGTGCTCTTAGAATAACTTTTTTTTTTTAAATATTTATTTATTATGTATACAATATTCTTTCTGTGTGTATGTCTGCAGGCCAGAAGAGGGCACCAGACCTCATTCCAGATGGTTGTGAGCCACCATGTGGTTGCCGGGAATTGAACTCAGGACCTTTGGAAGAGCAGGCAATGCTCTTAACCACTGAGCCATCTCTCCAGCCCCCTAGAATAACTTTTATAATAAATAGCCAATACATATCAGTTCCTGAAGGAAAAAAAAAAAGGACACTGATTTTAGGTGACAGGCCAGGACAAATAGGAACCGTGAGTGCCATCTCCCGACAGAGCAAGTAGGCTCTCTGAGCCTTCTAATCAAGGCTGTGATGCCTGGGAAAGGCAGAACTGGGGTTAAGATTTAGCTCTCCTAAATCTTGATTTTTTTTTTTTTTAGCTTAGAATTTGTATGAGTCTTTGACTGGCTTGAATATTGTATAGCTAGGGAGAGGTGTTCCTGTTCAGGCATACAGGATCATTACAACATTGATGATCCTACTGTGCTGAGGGGGGCTGTCAGTGGAAGAGTCTGGTATACATTCTAAACTTCTGTGGAGCTGGCTCCTCCCATTGGCTGGTCCCTCGGGAGCCGGCCCAGCACTGGAGTTCAGGAACTTAGGGAGGGACTCAGAGTTTTACTAAGTTTTGGCATTGTCCCTTTAAGATGCTGTCCTCCTCAACAATTCCATATATTCTTAAGTATATGTCTGCTTCTAAGGTAGAAGCATGTATGAAGCCATGGTCAGAAACTCCAGAACTTGTAAGTGCAAACTTTGTGGACAGTTGGGTTTGTAAGTGCCAGAAATGAACTTGGGGATAAACTAGAATGGATGATCTATCTTTTTTTGTTTGTTTGTTTGTTTGTTTGTTTTTTGTTTTTTTTTTTTTTTCGGGACAGGGTTTCTCTGTGGTTTTGGAGCCTGTCCTGGAACTAGCTCTTGTAGACCAGGCTGGTCTCGAACTCACAGAGATTCGCCTGCCTCTGCCTCCCAAGTGCTGGGATTAAAGGCGTGCAAAAAATTGGAAATATGATGAGTTCTAGGATTATTATGGTATCAGTAAAATTTAGACCAGAGGTAAAGGTGACCAATAAGGGCAGGGAGAGTAACCAGGTAGGCAGAGAGCTCCCCTGCCAGTTTCCCAAGGCTTAGTTGCAGGGGCTTGCACGTAGAACCAGAGGGGTAAACTGTTGGGAGCTGCAGAAGTTGGATGATGGCTCAGAGGCTGTTTTCCTATTCTTTCTTTATGTGTTTAAAGATATCTGTGATTAAAAATAAACTCACTATGAAGTAGAGAAGCACTTTGATTAGTACTAGTGTATTGTGCTCCTCAGTTCTGTGAAAATGGGTGAGAAAGAAGGATTCAGATGTAACCTTGGGAGGGTCATCAGGACAAAGTTTTGGGGGCTGTGATATAGAGCACTACTCACCCACACCTCTGCCTTACCTGCAGTGAATGGCTCACCTGCTACCATCACCATAGAGACCTGTGAGGACCCTGGTGACTGGACCACAGCCATTGGAGGTATATTCCCTCAGCTTCTCAGTTATACAGGTGGACCTATGGGAGGAACTGTCTACCCATGATCTGATCCTAGCTGGGTTCAGTATCCTACCACTGACCCCCTAGACTTCTGGGCTGTAATATGGAACTCAGTGCTTCATGTGCTGGCCTCCTGAGGTGATGTCCTTTACTACTTCCTGTTGGCAGCTACTCCACACATCAGTTTGTCTCCTACCTACCTGACTCTTCTCTTCCCATCATAGATGACACATTTGCATTCTGGCGGGGACTAAAGGATGCAGGCTTACTTGATGAAGTCATACAGGAATTCCAACAGGAGCTCGAGGAAACCATGAAAGGCTTGCAGCAGCGAGTACAGGACCCACCCCTGCAGCTCCGAGGTAAGGGGCCTTATTCTCCCTCCTGCTACCCCCAGGATGGAAGCTGAACCTGAACACAGGACCCTGCTGTGCTGAGTGGGAGAGTCTTTTGGTATTCATTCTAAACTTCTGTGGAGCTGGCTCCTCCCACTGGCTGGTCCCTCAGGAACCAGTCTAGCACTGGAGTTGAGGAACTCTGGGCAGATCCCAGATTTTTACTAAGTGTTGGCATTGTCTCTTTAAGATGCTGTCCTCCTCAACAACATTGTGCAAAACTTTGGCATGCTGGATCTGGTGAAGAAGGTGCTGGCCAGCCACAAGTGCCAGATGGACCGCTCTCGGGAACAGTATGCCCGGGACCTGGCAGGTATGCCCAGCAGCAGCATGGGGTTTGGGGAGCCTATAGGCTCACCTCTCTAGTCAGAGACACAGCCATGTAGGTGAGCTTTTGAAGACCAAGAAGTCAGAAGAACACAGACATCGAACATGGAAAAGTCAGTAAAACTCCAGCGGCTGTGGCCAGACCTTGCCAGTACAGAAAGCATAGGTCACTCTTTACTGACCTTTCTGTGATGAGCTAAGTTATTTAATTTAAAGGAATAAGACAGGAGAATGGAAAAAACCACCTACTCCAGCCAGAGCTGGATTGTCCTATGGTGTTTGTATATTAGTAATAAGTTTTCCCTGGTGTTCTTACTTAAATGTGTGCCCTGCAGGTGTATAAGTGTGTAAATAGGCCTTTTGTTTGGATGCTTTGCCCAACAGCAGCTTTCCTATGGAACTGAATAGAACACTTTGATGCTGAGGGAAGGTCTGGCCTCTAGAACTTCCACTTTGGAACTGTGGTCTTGGGTCATCCTGAGGGCCATTAAGGACCCACTGGTGCCATCCTTTCCTTTGGCAAGCAGCCCTCTATCCTCCAGGTTGCTGCTGGTTTGTGATCTGCTCACTGATTGTACATGTCTGCTCTGTCCCTGTGGTGACGCTGTGTGTCCCCTGCAGCCCTGGAACAGCAGTGCGATGAGCACCGGCGCCGTGCCAAGGAGCTGAAGCACAAGTCCCAGCACCTCAGCAATGTGCTCATGACGCTGACGCCAGTCTCCCTGCCATCACCTATGAAGCGGCCCCGTCTTGCACGAGCTACATCCGGACCAGCTGCTATGGCTTCCCAGGTGCTTACACAGTCTGCACAGATTGCTCTTGGTCCAGGAATGCCTGTGTCCCAGCTGACCAGTATGCCACTTAGCAAAGTGGTATCTACACTGCCCTCCACTGTCCTGGGTAAGGGTTCTCCTCAAGCTGCCCCAGCCAGTTCACCGGCCTCCCCACTGCTTGGGGGCTACACAGTCCTGGCCTCCTCTGGCTCAACCTTCCCCAGCACGGTAGAGATCCATCCGGACACATCCAGCCTCACAGTTCTGAGCACAGCTGCCATGCAGGATGGCAGCACAGTACTCAAGGTGGTCAGCCCACTGCAGCTGCTTACTCTGCCTGGCCTGGGACCAACCCTGCAGAATGTGGCCCAGGCCTCACCTGCAGGCAGCACCATCATGACAGTGCCCACAGCAGCTGCTACTGGACCTGAGGAACACACAGCCACTATTGAGGTGGCTGCTGTAGCGGATGACCATGAGCAGAAGTAGCTGGCAGGGAGGGTAAGATCCTTCCAAGTTGGGCTGGCTGCCTCTCCTCAGGCCACTGCAGGCAGAGGCCACTACAGACACAGGCCACAGGGCTGGCTCAGCACAGGCAGGTCTGATGGGCTGAACCAAAGAGAGGATTGCCGGATGAATCAAGAGAAGAAAAGGGGGCAGAATGATGCCAGCAACCTGGAAAATCAGTCTTCAGCTTCTAAACTTCCTCCCTTTTTTTCGTGGGAAATACTGTTTTCCATCTGTTGCTTATTAATCCTGTTTACACATTGGGCCTTGAGCAGGAACCAGGGGGTCAGTGACCAGGAGGAGGCCTGGGTGCTTCTGGTTCAGCTGCAGAGCCAGCTCCAGAGCCCAGCTGATCACAGGTCCGAGTGCTTGCACCCCAATGGGGCTGAGCCTGCTGGGCCATTATTGACACAGGTCTTGGGCAGCATGCCCGAGTGTGGAAGCCATAGATCCTATGGATTTGGTCTCTTCCCACAGTTCTCTGTAGGTTCAGTATGGCCAGTGTCCATGTTCTTTCACTGTGGGAACATGCTCTGGGGCTTAGTGCAGACCCGAGTCAGGACCCCTTCCTACCCCACAGGCACTCAGGTGGTGAAGGGGTCTCATGGACCTGGTATGTTCTAGACCCCTTTGCACATGGGCTGTGTTTTTAAGTGAATTGCTTAGTAGGCTTCTAGGAAAAAAGTAAATTTATAGTGTCTTCAACCAAAACAATGCTGAGTGCCTAGGCTCCCGAGTCAGTTCTGGGAGAGACCCAGAGCACCTGTCCACACACCTAGCCGCTGCTAGAGGTCTTAGGTAGTGTCTGTCCCTGAGACAAAGCTCTGGAGGATCTGTATGGAGGTATGCCCGAGACTTGGGGTAGTTCAGATAACTCCCTATGTGCAGCCTGCACTTATAGCCCCCTATAGTAGCGCCCCTAAATTTTCCCTGGAAGTAGAGCAGGAGCTCTCTGGTCAGTACTCAGTGTCTCTATCCTGAGAGCCCCTGGGTGTGTGAGAAGGCTGTTTAGAATTGGAGGGTCGGTCAGCTGGGAGATAGGATCCAAAATGTTCCATGGAAGGCTGTCTGCAGGCAGTTTTTACAGGTCTGGTTGGTTCCATGCAAAGGGCTATCCTTTAGGCCAGAGTCGTCCTTGGAGCCAAACAATTCAGGGAACAGAGTTTTGGCCTCTTGGTAAGGTTCAAAGGCCCCACAGCAGGGAGGGACCACTGTCCAGCCATCCATCCCTCTTGAGTGCCCTTTGCTATGACTGGGGCCTTGCCTGCCCCTGCTCTCACCCCATGTCAAGCTACTGAGGTTCTAGCTCTTGTTTTCCTTCTGTTACATCATTGTTCACTGTGGTCATGAATCGGCTGGTTTTGGCAGATGTTTACCTGTTTATGTATATATCCCTTTTTAAAAACTTTTTTTTCCTCGAGTTACAAGTCCTGTTAAATGCAGCAGTGTGATTCTAGGAGTATTGGAAGGACCAGTAGGATGGGTACTGTCCAGAAGTCCCTGCTCTACAAGCTCAGACTAGATTAGTGTCACAAATAAAACCTTCCTGCCCTGGGAATCAAGAGCCTTTCCTTGGCACAAGTCCCAGGTGCCACCTTCTTTTTAGGATGTGGGCCAGTTTTCTTTCTTCGTAAGAGCAAGGTCGAAACCTTTTCAGCCCTTGACCTTTGGCACATGGAGGTACTGGAAGGTGAAATTCGTTTTAGAGCCTTACAAAAGTAACCCTCAAATCAGCTTCAGAATTAGTTCACACAACCCATTCCCAGTGTCCCCAGAGGCTGTCCATAGCCCACCCTCCAAGACTGTTCCTGGCAGGCCAGGGAGGGTTCTTCAGGGCAGAGAAGGGCCAGTAGTCCCATCGGCATGGAGGTTACAGTTCTGGGGGAGGAAGTGACCATTGCCCACCACCTGTTTGCTCCTGCCTCTTGTGGTTCCTACTGACTCCTCTGTTGCTGCGTTCCCTGCCCATTGGGCCATCCAGGATCCAGGAAGGAAGGTCTTCCCCTCCACATGCAAACATGGGTGCTTGTGGCCGCTTTCAGTTTGGTTTTCTGAGGAAATAGGAAGGATTTGGTTTGCAGAGGGTGCAGCTCCTTCCTATGCCTGCCCAGGAGGCATGCAGGGAAGGGCAAGTTTGAGTTCCTTGAGTTCTACTTTGTATGTTGTTAAGCAAGTATCTGCTTGGTACTTTGATTTAAAATAAAAACACTTTTGTAATTTGTGTGTTTGTCTCTTGCGATGAAAGCTATGGAAGAAACCAAATTTAACTTGTAAAAACATGCCCCTTGTGACAGTACTGGCTTTTTTTCAGGTTCTTTAGGCACATCTGTCCACCGAGTCCAACTGTGATTGGGGTCGAGGGCCAAGGAATCTTCCTAGAGTCCTGAAGTCAAACAGTTTTTTGTTTGTTATTATTTTTGATTTTGTTGGTGGTAGTTTTTTGTTTTGTTTTGTTTGTCTGTTTAAAGAGGGTCTCTCTACATAGCCCTGGCTGTTCTGGAACTATGTAGACCAGGCTGACTTGGAACTCACAGGGATTCCACTTGCCTTGGATGGGATTAAAGATATGCACCACCACACTCTGCTCAAACACTTTTAATAATTACACCAGGTACCATTTGGCTTCCTGTTCAGCTCAGTGTACAGGTATACGTAGTGTAGGCGCTAGGCATCTCTCTGTGTGCCCTTCTGTTACTGCATCAGACCTTGCAGACTTGGCTCAGAAGCAACAGAGATCCATTAATTGTAAGTCAAGGCAGGTATGTAGGAACATGGAACAGGGTAAGGATAAAGCTGGAGTAACTCTTCTTCACCTTGACCCAAAGCTGGATTTCCAAGCACCTTCTCTGGAGGGTAGCGGAGGCACCTTTGTAGTCAAACTAGCCATGTTCTTCCCTTGCTCAGCTTTCTCAAGATCCTTCTTCAGACTGCTACCCTCTTTGGTACTGTGGTCCCTAGGAGGCCACAGGTACGCTCTCCAGCATCCCACAGAGCAAAGAGGCAGGTACCATGTCCTGTCACTTAGTGAGAGTTGGGCAAAGCACAGACTAGTGCTTTCCTGTGAGCATACACCACTGCAATAGAACCAATAGATGGGTCATGGTCCCTGCCTGTCACTGCAGTTCACAGACCTGTTTCCAGCCCACCTACAATCCCCCAGAAAATCTGCAGGCACCTCCGACTTAAAGGGCCCAAGACAGAATCTTATTTTCTCCCCAAGCTGTTCTTTGTCTCTGAGAAGGATGTCAGCAGCCACATGTTGACTAGGCCACCTTTCTGCAATCTCACCTCAGCCCCTCCTCAATAAGCCATATCCTTCCACCTCTCAGGCCAAGAGCTATTCTCTATAGTCACTCTGCTCCCCACATTACCAAAGAATGTGTCTCTGCCCCCCGGGTAAGGGAAGCCTTTTTGACACCTATTCCTGATGTTTGTGGCAGTCACGGGCCGCAGGACATAAAACACTGGCTCAGAAGGGTTAACCTCTTACACCCTCACTGAGAAGTCCCTAGACTTCCAGCACTGGTCACTCAATGGGCAGGGATGTGAGGGAGGCAAATGGGAGCAGAGGAACAGTCTTCCCCCTCGGCTTGCAGTGTTCTGCAGCACAGGTCTACAGAGGATGAGGCTGAGTGACATCTCACATCTGGACAGACTACAGTATGCCCATTCGCCTACTGAAGGAGGGTGATTTTTTTTTTTTCAATTCTCTTGAGTAAATAACCATTGCTAGATCATCGGGAAATACTTTTTTAGTTTTGTGAGAAATTGCCAGTGTCTTCTAGTTCAGCTGCATCATTTTGCATTTTTACCAGCAGTGAGTGTTCCTGTTAACCTACATTCTCACTCCATATAGTATACTTAGCATTTTGGATTTTGGCATTGTGATAGGTGTACGGTAGTATCTCACTGTTGTGTTTCTGTTTGTTTTGTTTTGTTTGAGATGTCATCACTGTGTAGCCCAAGATAGCTTCAAACTTACAATCCTCCTGCCTCTCTCTTCTGTGGGGTTTCAGACATGTGCCACCACATTCAACTTTCCTATCAACAAATCATTATATTACTATGTACATGATGTATGTGGGGGTGCATGTGCTATGTGCATGGGGAGGTCAGAAGACAACTTTGTGGAGTTCTCTCCACCTTTGTATGGATTTCTGTAACTGGAGTTCCCTAATAACCACTCTGGGCTTAATATTAATTACAAACTGTTTAGCCTATTAGCTCAGGCTTATTATTAACTAGCTCTTACAATTTAAATTAACCCACTTCTATTAGTTTATGTTTTACCACAAGGCTCGTAGCTTGTTATCTCACATCTTGCTTCTCTTGTGGCAAGTCTCCCCTGACTTGGCTTTCTTTATCTCTGATTTCAGTTTGGCTTTCTCGCCTAGCCATATTCTGCCCTGCCATAGGCCAAAGCAGCTTCTTTATTAACTAATGGTAATAAAACATATTCTCAGCATACAGAGGGGCATCCCGCATCAGATTCCAGAAGTAGAACTCAGATTGCCAGACTTGTACAGCAAGTGCTTTTATAGACTGAGCCATCTCACTGCCCTTCCCTGTTGTTTTTCAATTTGTAGTTGCATATGGCGTATGATACAGAGAACCTTTTTGAAAGATTTATATCTGCGTTTTACCTACATGTATGTATGTGCAGCACATCCCTGCCTGGTATCTGCGGTTCCAGAAGAAGACATCAGATCCCTTGAACTGGAGATAAACAATGGCTGTGAAGCAGGGCAGTGGTGGTGCACACTTTTAACCCCAGCACTCAGAAGGCCAAGGCAGGCAGATCTCTGAGTTCATCTGGTCTACAGATCAAGATCTAGAACAGCCCAGGCTACACAGGGAACCCTGTCTCAAAAAACAAAGATATTTGTGAGTTGCCATGTGGGTGCTGTGAACTAAACTCAGGTCCTTTGCAAAATCAGGAAGTCCTTAAAAGGCCTTTTTATGTGTTCTACATCCTCTTCAGAAAAGTATCAGGTCTTATGCCTATTTTTAAAAAGATTTAGTTATTTTTTATTTATGAGCTATACTACTAACATGTCAGGTGCTCACAGGATTACAGACAGTTGGTACTTGCCATGAATGTCCTGGAAACTGGACCTGGAGCTTTTGGAAGGGCAGCCAGTGCTCTTACCCACTGAGTCATCTCTCCAACTCTTCTTCTGCCCATTTTAACTAGGTCCAGTTTTTAAAATTATGACTTTTTTTTTTTTTTTTTTTTGGCAGTGCAAGGGAATCAAACCCAGTGTCTTCCACATGCTGAGATGGATGGTAGGGGCAGACATTAACCTTTTATTGAACTTTTCATCAGATTTTTTTTAAAAAAATCTCTCATAGATTATAGTATATCTTCTCATTCTCTTGGCAATATTTTTCACATAGCGTTTTTTTTCTTTTTTTACTTTTGCCAAGTATGGTGGCACACACCTTTAATCCTAGCACTTGGAAGGCAGAAGCAGGTGGATCTCTGTTCCAGGCCAGCGCTACACAGTGAGATACTCTCTCAAACCAAACAACCAACCAACCAAAACTGCACTTACACTTTGGAGTTTGAAGATTTGAAAACCTTGTAGTTGGAAATATAGCTCATTGGTAGAGGACTTGTCTCGTATGCACAAGTTCCTACTTCGGTCCCCAGCACTGGAGGAAAATAAAAGTGTGTGGGGGAGATCTGCTTACAGTGCAGCAAACACACATATTTTTACTGTATTCTTCCAAGTCAGTGGCTATTGGTGCCTTAGTTACTTTGCTGTTGCTGTGACAAAACACCATAGCTAAGGCAACTTAGAAAAGAAAACATTTAGGGCTGGAGAGATAGCTCAGAGGTTAAGTGCACTGGTTGCTTTTCCAGAGGTCCTGAGTTCAATTCCCAGTAACCACATGGTGGCTCACAACCATCCATAATGAGATCTGGTTCCCTCTTCTGGCCCACAAGCAAACATCCAGACAGAATGCTGTATGCATAATAAATAAATAAATCTTTTAAAAAATTTTAATTTGGGACCTCATGGTTGCGGGGGGTTAGAGACCATGGTCATCATGGTGGAGAATATGGCAGCAGCCAGCAGCCATGGTCCTGGAGCAGTAGCTGAGGATGTACATCTTTATTCACAAGTAGGTTGTAGAGAGAGCTTATGAGGAATGGCATGGGCTTTTGAACCTCAGAGGTCATCCCCAGTGACACACTTCCAGTGAGGCCATGTTTCCCCATCCTACTCAAATGTATAAGCCTGTGGGAGCTGTTCTCTCTCGGACCACCACAGTGATTTATTTTCCTTGTCATTTTTCTCAGTGGTTTTTTATTTGGTAGAACTGTTTAGGAAGGTCTAGGAAATGTAGCTTCACTGGAGGAATGTGTCACTGGAGGGTGGGCTTTGCGATTTTGAAAGATTCCCAGTGCCCTCTCTGCCTTGTGATCACGATATCTCTCAGCTGTTTCTTCACACCACCATCATGGACTCTGACCCTACGAAACTCTAAGATAAACTCTTTTATAAGTTGTTTTGGTCATGGTGCTTTATCAGAGCAATAGCCACGGGAAAGTGATTAAAGCATAGTATTAGCATATATATATGCTATATATATCCATTTATAACATTCTTTTTTTTTTTTTTTTTCGAGACAGGGTTTCTCTGTAGCTTTGGTGCCTGTCCTGGAACTAGCTCTTGTAGACCAGGCTGGCCTCGAACTCCCAGAGATCTGCCTGCCTCTGCCTCCGAGTGCTGGGATCATTTATAACATTCTAAAGTCGTATGGATGGTTTAATAATTTTGTATATGCTTTTTTTCCCCTTAATCCAATTCCAGATTTCAGTCACACCAGTTCTTGGGCCTTCTTGACCTCTTCAGTCTGGCCTGGCCCTGGGTACTTCCCTGAAGTGAACATCTCTCAGGAGTTTGTATGGGGATCATTGTGATGAAATTGTGCTCATGAAGCAGGGGGTTGTGTCCTCCCACCCCCTCATTGTCATTTTTCTCAGTGGTTTTTTATTTGGTAGAACTGTTTAGGAAGGTCTAGGAAATGTAGCTTGTGACCTCTGTCTGCCTCTAGTGCTACACACACACTCTGACTGCCCTGGCTAAGCAGTCACTGTAGCGGTTTCTGAGGACCTTCCTCTGAAGTCATCACAGGAATGGAAAACAAGGAGGCCACGGAGGGCTTACATCAGGAAGGAGTGGGATCCCTGATCTGTGCCAGCATTTGCTG